ATTTATTAATTTTGTAGACAAGTGCTCAAAATTTCAAAAAAAAAAAAATATTTTTGAATAAAAAAAATGAATTAAAAATAATAAGACATTATTTACAAGTGTTTATATCGAACAACACCCATAATATGGGGATTATCCACAAATAATTTTCAATTCTACATGATAATTTTGTTGTAAACGACAAGTCGACAACAGTAAAAATATATTATAACTACCTCCGAAGAAAATGAGTTTTGTTAGAATTAATATCCTTAAATAAATTATGCCCGAATGGCCGAAGACAAAATGGCTACTAACATTCCATGCCGATATGTAGAGAATACTAGCATAACATAACGCTTTTATGTAACTGTTTAATTAATTGTTCTCACGGTGGCAACAAAGCAATAATTAAGAAAGGCGCCAAATTTTATAGAAAAGTGACAGAAAACCCGAGTGGAAATGCGGCAATAATATAGAAAAACAGCAGAATTGAAACTTTTGTCGGCGTGGCGATTGGCAATCACCACCCTAAGAACGGAATTTTCTTGAATACGTAATGAGTTCGGCGCTTTTTGTACAGAATGAGATCCTACCTTGACACGGCGATAGCCCCTGGTCCATTTGGGGTCCTCGGCAGGTCGGCAGAGTCCTCCGTCGACCCAAAATTCGGCGAGACACGAGCCTCCGAGGCTCATTGTTAATGGTTTTCACATATTTCCTCACCACAAGTGAAGTAAATGAACATGTGAACTTTGAACAACTCTCCTCTCCTCCCCCCACCCCTCCTCCCGCTGGCTGCTGCTGCTGCTGTTTGGCCTTTGAATGGGAGTGAACAAGACGAGAGTAAGACGAGAGTAAAAAAGGTGCTCGATTCTATTAATTCAAGTCAAAATACGCAAGATTCTCGGAGACCCGTGTCTCGCCGAATGCTGGGCCGATGGAGGATTCTGACGACCTGGCCGACCTGCTGAGGACCCTAAATGGACCAGGGACTATCACCTTGTTAAGGTTGGTTTCAATTTTTTTTTTCTGCATACATAATTCCGTCTTCAGAGCGATGATAATCAAAATGGCCGGGGCTCGAATATTTTTTACCTTTTGGCTTTACATAACTCAATTTTTCAAAATGTTGAAGACCGATTAGGTAATTCTTAGCGTGAAGGTTCGATTGTAAATTTTTTACTTTGCAAAATGTCACCAGAAAAAAATCAATTCAGGCGGCCCGAACATGTGAAATTTTATCTCGAAGGGGAAAAAATTGGTGCCCACGTGTGCCGCACGTGTCCTGAAAATTTCTGAAAATTAATTGATTTCGCGCGGATGGACCATGAAGACCATGCTAAATGGACAGTGGGAATCTCCTAACACGGAAAGTGGCTTTGGAATTTGAAAAATCGCAAGTTCCAGCCCATTTTCCGTGATTATTTGATCGGAATTTGAGAGTATGCAACCCGCACTAGTTTTGCTGCTCTGGCCTTCCGAGGAGGCAAACGAAGGCCGCCGAAAATAAGGCGTATGTAATTTTCGGAATAAAAATAATAAATAATAAAAATTGTGAAGAATGTTTAAAAATTAAATGAAAATATGTGCTGGTGGTCAGATATTATCTTGCTTTGTATGGGTTGAAGATAAAATATAATATATGCTAATTAAGGCAATTTTTTTAACGATAGTAGTTTTGCGGCTTGCTAAAAACTTAAAACTTTTTCACTTAAAATCCATTTTATTGAAATGTTTTAAGATATCGCTGTAATTATAAATTTGAGTAAAAAAAATTGCTAACTTTTAGTAAAGGATGTTAAAAAAAATTGTCACTTTAAAGGCAAGTTTTTGTAATGAATCCTCTGCTCACATTTCCTCGTTATTCCTCCAATCCGTCGAAAGATTATCCCCGCAGCATCGTGTTTAGCGTCGGTGCTGCTGCGAAAACAGGCAATTTTCACGAGACCCGCTCAAGTTTGGCTTCGCCCGTGCTGTTTATTTTCATTCCAGATTAATCTTATTACATAGGCGCTGTCCTTATTAAGCCAAAATTACACTTATCCCGGCTCATTCCGATAATCTAGCAGCGAGGGCCCACTTACCGTGTAGACCACTCTCAAATAATTACACCTAATTTAGTTCCGAAGCGTGCCGGGCCGAATGGGCGATGCTGTGAATTATTCACGTATCCTCGCTCTCCGTTATAATGCTCGCACCTCCAAGACAATTATCCGGGGCGGTGAGCGGCCCGAGCAGCGCGTGCTATTGGCGCGTAATTGAAACAGGAAATGTGCCGCTCATTGTCGGTGCCTGCCAGGTTAGACGTCCGACATTTGCATAATTCGTTGAGGGTTGAGTTCAGATAGGGTCAAATGAGCACCAACATTATAAATGCATCGCTTGAATAAGGCAAATTAAATACGGAAAATTCATTTAAACGTAATTGTAATTGTTGTGTTTTAACTTTTTTAATTAAACTTAGCCTAGAGGGTTTGATAATTATTAAAATTTATATTAAGAAACAAAAGATGTTTTAAATAATTTTCATTTCATTATTAAAGAGAGCAATAATCACAGATGTTTTTTTTTTGCAATATTTTCCTATCGCGGTGAATTAATAAGAAATTCCGAAGAAATAACATTTTTTTTTTTTTTAGGGCTAATCACAGTTTTCTGTTTATCATTAATATGAATACAATTTAATTCAAATTTGGCATTGTCAAAATAGAAAAGAGCATTAGTAATTATGTTTCATAATCTTCATAAAATAATATTTCAAAATCCTTTTAATTAATCAAACTGTTTTAATTCATTTTTATGAATTGAATTAAAATTTCTTGCATTCCCTGCTCCTTAACTAGGTTTTCACTTGCAATGAAATGCTGTGAAGTAATCTTGACAGTCAATTTTAATTACTTGTCTTTTGTGCTTCAATACTTTGCCTTCTACCATAGATATAGTAATTAATGCGTCGCTCTATTTATTTACTAAGAAAATGCAGTCTGCCTGCGGCGTAAAGTTAAATTCAAAGGCCAAATATTTACCCCCAACTCTCTCACTAAGTCGACGACATCCACCGCCAGCTCCTCTGCAAAGTTGCTGCCGGCAAAATGCTCTACTGCTGGATTTGCTAATTAATTATATCCTAATGGCAAGTTAATTAATCCATTGGAATGAAATTTTCGCTAAGTCTTCCCTAGAAAGTAATCGAATCTTGCACTGTTGATTTATGAGAAATTAAATCTGGCCCAATTAACGCTTTTTCTCCTACAAATATTTACAAATTAAACAAAATAATATTATAAAATTTGTTAAAAAGAACGACCCGCTCATGAGTTGCGTCCCATTAGTGGATGTTAGATATTGATTTTCTAGTCTCGACCGCCTCAGGCCTTGGTTAATTAAATGAGGAAAAATAATAATGAGCTTCTGTCTCAAGCGCAAAACATGCTGGTAATGCGCCTCGCTCGCTGGGGCGCTTTAATGTACATGGAATAAAAAAAACTTATCTCCAGCAGAGAAAAAAAAATACATTTCCAGCAGTTAGTGAGTCAAGGCTGACTGTTTGTGTATCTTGCGGGAGGAATAAAAAAACGCACCGTTAGTGTAGCGTATAATAATGTGGCTTTTTTGCGGCAATTTTAATTTGACAAACAGAAATAGTAAATAATGAGGCTAAAAAAAGTTTCCTGGGATTCTCTCGCCACAAGGCTAGAGAATAAAGAACAGAATATTGTTTGAATATTGGGCGTTATTATGAAAGGAAAAAATTCAAATTCCTGCAAAAATATAATATGTAAACCGTCCAGAAATTTAAGAGCTTCAAATTTTTAAACAAATAGCTCAAAAAATTAAAAATAATTTAATTGATCGCCTTTCCATTATGGAGCTTTTTTCTCAAAAAACTATAACTAATTTTTGCAGCAATTAGGTTATTGTTAAAATTCAACTTTTTTTCACCTTTTTTTTGAATATATGTCTAAGTTCCTTCCAAAATATTCTGACCAGTCACAAATCCGCTCTTTTCTTACATCTAGCAAATTATCCTCACGCAAAATTAGAATTTTCGGCGAGCGCCAAGTTTGAGATTCAATCAAGGAAAATGAGATTAGCACCGTTGCGAATTCCCGATTCAGTAATAATCCGAAGCCGCATTTTGCGTGATGCAAAAGTTGGAGCGCCGCGGCGACGAAACTTTTCATTTAAGAGTTCCGCTGCCAACTTTTTCATAATTTTTCCCGAACTTTTTTCTCTCCACGCAGCCCGAGGGAATTTTCGTCGGTCATTCTGACGCGCTTCTCACACCCGCAATTCAAAATTGGCCAATCCGCAGACTAACTTTTCGCAGCCGGCCAGATTGATTGTGCGGTGTTCGAATGTAACACTCCTTTCTGCTGGATGGCGCTAAATTGGCCGCTGCGGCTTGCTTTTTCATTTGCTAGCGCGCTCACCACGCCTGGGCCGCAATAACATTATTTTTGCTCATTTTATGATGGACGAAAAGCCACCAAAACGGCGCTGAAAGTGATAGTAAATAAAGGGGGAGCCAATTAGACGGCAATATAATTTAATTAACTTTTATATCGATTGCTGTAAATGCTTGTTGAAAAACAGGAAGAATCAATATATAAAAGTTTAGTGTCAATAAATTACATGCTTTGATGTCAGATATATAAACAAGTATAAAAGCAAATAATGAGATTAAAATTAAATTGAAAAAAAACAAAGTTTATATTAAATGATATTATTGAAATTTTAAAAGCATAAAATCATGAAATTTTTATTTCAAATTTTTTTTTGTAATTCAGTCTCTTACTGTAATTAATTTTGATGATTATTAAAAAATTATTTAAAAGACTTTTTCACCACTCTAGGTATTTTTTTTTTTAAATATGTCTTCATTTAATCCATTTTGATTTTTAAATCAGCCTTAATTTTAATCGCTGAAATACTATATAAAGTTTCAAAATGAAAATGCATGCTACTTTTTTCTCACTTTCTGGGGTGGTCGTGCTTGAAATAAAAAGTGCGTCGCATAGACAGAGAGCTTAAAAAACTTTTTATTCCATTGGTTTTGTCGTCGCGCTTGTGTATAAATAATGCAGAGCGTGTGTCTTTATGAAGCTTCTGAATTCCCCAAAAGCAACCGACCCGTGAGCTGAAAAAATTCCACTCCAAAGTCTCTATAATATCGACTGTCAGTTTTCTCTCTTGGCTGCACGCGGCACCGAACAACGAGTTCTCCGCATCTTTCGTCGCCGCAGCAAATTAATTGGCATCCTCAGGGAATCGTGTCTTAACTCTGTACATGTTAAAAAAGTTTCAGGAACTTTGCAAAATCAATAAAAGTCCTAGAATCATCATCGCACACCACGAAACGAGAGAGACACAAAAATCTGCGCAGAATTAGTCTAATTTGTTTCGCAGCACTTTCTATAAATTAAATTTAAATCGCGAAACTTTTGGCAGAGAACTTTGATTTGTCTTTTGGTTTAACTTTCGCCACTTTCCTCTTCGCAGAACACGCAAAACTTAATATTCGAACCACTCGCTTTTCCACTGAAGTCTCAAAATGCTTTCAAAAGACGTTGGAAACTTATAAAAATTAAAATTTCATAGTTTAGATCCTGAAGCGTACAGATTCAAACATGTTTCAGAAAATGACCTTTGGGCAAATTTATTTTTCTGTATTGCCCAAAAATAATTTTTTATGACAAAATTGAATTTTTGCACAAAGATCTAAACCAAGAAATTTTGATTCTTTGAAAATATCCAGCCCCTCTGTAAGCAAAATAATATGAATCTCGGTCAAAAGTTGTAAAGAAACCGCAGCACGATGAGTGAAGTGAAAAATTCAAAGAAATGCAAGTAAATACCTTTGAACAAAAAAATTAAATGGGATTCTAAACACGTGGCGCGAAGTGGTATGCAAATGAATTTTGCAACTACTCGACGGGGGCGGCGTCGACGTCGTCGTCGCCGCTGCACGAGCAGCAGTTGCGAATGGCCTTGGCGCACGAGCGGAACTTGTGGATGACCTCCTCCTGCATCAGGTTGAAGCACATGGCGATGATGGCCATGCCCAGCATCAGGTACATGGAGCAGAAAATGAAACTCATGTCCAGTCCTTTGGAGGCGTAGATCTGGTCGCCGGGCACGATGTCGCCGAAGCCGATCGTGCTCAGGCTGATGAAGCAGAAGTACGAGCCGTCCAGGAAGTCCCAGTCCTCCCACTCGGAAAAAAGGATCGCACCGCCGCACACGTAGCCCACCATAATGGCCAGGCACAATGTCACGGGGACGGTAATCTGGAAAAAAGAGAAAATTAAGATAAAAATGTTATACCAATATAGTCAGTCAAGTGTGGTTTATTTATTTGAAGGAATATAAATACAGTATTTATACATTCATTGAATTAACAAAAAAAAAATAATAAATTTTAAAATTGTATTGAATAAAACGCCTTATTTACGTTAAAAATGTAAACTTTTATATTATAAGTCTTTCTGATTTGAACAAAAACGTTTTTTTTTTTTAAATAAGATTTTGCCTACAGCAGAGATTATTTAATTAAAATGAGACCAGTAAGTTAGTGCTTTCTTGAAAAACCGCGATTTGATTTTGTAATAATTAATTATTACCGTGTCATCCTTGACGCTCTGCCCTAAGGAAGACTCGACGTTGGACTCCTCGTACTGCTCGTCCGTCTCGTCGATGATCTCGGGCACTTGCACGGCGACCGAGTTTTCCGGCGACACCGACCTGCTGTCCTCCCGGTTGCCGCAGCCCCGGCACAGACAGCACTTGGCGTACGACCACTTGAAGCTCTTGGCAAGGATGTCGCCGATGTTGGACAGATAGAGCAGGAAGAGCGGCATGCCGATGATGGCGTAGAAGATGGTCGCCACTTTGCCCCATTCGGTCTTCGGCGCCACGTTTCCATATCCTGAGAATCACAATGGGAAAATTAATTTAATTTTGAAGTAGAATTTTTGTGCGATATTCATTTATCAAGATTTTTTTTCTATCATTTTCCTTCTATTGAATTTGCGAGGAAGGACAACGCTGGACGAGCTTTTAATATCTTTGGTCATTTTGTTGACAACAGATATGATTGATATGGCTCTCTCGTAATATCAAATATTATTCTCCGCTTTCGCAACGGGAGCGTCTGTTTTTCTGCCGGCTGCGGAAATAACCATATGTCTCTTTCTCTGCGCAGCTACTTTATCATCGTTTATCACGTGTACAGGAATTTATGGAATCCATTTTTCCGTCCACGACCACAATATTTTTATTTTTCCAACTCCGTAAAAATCCTAAAAATTGGTAAATTTATATAATTTAAATCATCAAGTTTCTACAAAAAACGTTTTCATATTTTAAAATACAAAATAAAAATTGTCACATCAAGTTTATCAGTCTTTAAAATCCTGTATATCAAAAAAGGCTCATAAAAATATTTGTAAGCTCAGGTATCATATTCCGCTGGTGAAATCTTGTTCGCCGTACACATATTCAAGGGTCTCTGTGAAGAGTGCTCCTCGATCTGTACTTGAAAGTATCTGCCGCTCATCGAACTGCCTTCAAGGCATCATCAGCCACCGCAAAATTAATTCTTGGAATATTCACGGCCAAAACTTTGCTTGCTGCTGTGTATTTTCCGCCGGCTTGCCAAATCTCTCTTGCGCGCTCGAAAATTGGAAAACTTGCCGCAACAAAGTTGGCAGCCCGCGCGCGTATATAAAAGTTAGCAAAAATTGCATGGAAGAAGAAAAAAGAAGCAAGGATTGAGGAGAGAGGAAAGTGGCGAAAAATAATAGAGTTCGTGAAACGCCTCATTAGCCCGGTCAATGAGCTCCTCTTGCTCGGTGAATGATTTTCATTTCGCGATCAAGTAGCGGTGAAAGAGAGTTTTATCAGCTGATCAAACGATCAGAGAAGAGAGAAAGGAAATATATTTATATGTCTGATGCTGAAAGTATAGGAGGACGATTTCCATTCTATTTGCGAACGCTGAAAGTTTCTTTCGGTGGGAAAAAAAATCGCACACTCGGTGCCAACAGGGAGGGAGAATAAAAAGCCACAAAATAACGAAGTGCCTTATTGATCGACGGCTCGGTGACGTCGCGATAGAGGTGCTCTTTTTATCTCGGGTGAATTTAATTTTAATACCTTCCTTCAAGGTGCGGGTGGCAAAATTTTAAATGTCTCATCTGCGAGGAGCCGCAGACTCGGCGGAATTGCAGATCTCTTCTAATCAGCGCACTTCAATTTATTGATAAGAAAAAGACTGAGCCATTAAACTTTTAGTGCTCGTTTCGACGGGAGTAAAAATAACTCCAGACGTCTAGAGGAAATTCAAATTGCTCGGATATTTCGCCAGCGTTTCGTTATATATCTCACTGTGTTTGCAATTTTTCATGACTTTGTTTATTTTATTTATTTCCCTCTGAAGAAAAATGTGGAGCAAAAAAGCAGTCTTTCATATTTCCACTGCACATCTTGGTTTTAATTGGCGTGTCTTGAGAGCAAACTGCATTATTATTATTTCCCTTGCATTGTGATGTGCGGGTGCTTTTTGTTCTCATCTCCTAGCAGTTTAATTAAGCTCACTCTGGCTGACATGAAAGGCACCGAGGCAGGTGAATGCCTTCGTGTTTTTGACGCGACTTTTGATCCGTCTTCATCAGCCTCCACTTCTCGTTCTTTTCTTTGTGTTTTTTCCCTCTCTCGACGTGCACAATTATAGAAATTGCAAAACGACCTACATTTCCTAACAAAGCTCTATAAAATTACCCCTGTGTGACCAGCAACGGATTAATTTAATCTGCGTGGAGAATGTTTTGCATTAATTTGCGCGAGTAATAAAAGAACGTGTGCGCAATTCCATTACAAAGGGAATTCGCCAGAGTGCTTTTGCTAGATAAAAAGAAAAGTTAGTGCAGTCACTTGTTTGCTGACATTTTAATTCGAAAGCTTTTTGCAAAAATAACTGCGCAGTTTAGGAATTTATTTTTCTTTTCCGCATAAATAACAGGACATTTTACTTATTAATTTGAATATATTCAATTAAACTGTGGAGAAATTGATAATTCTGCAAAATATTATATTATTATTGTTAAAATGTCAATTATTTAAATTTAAAGCAGAAGTTAAAGTTTTTAACAAAAAGACGCCTTCGATGAATTAATGTGTGATTTTTTTATCTACACTGATTTGTTTTATGTGGCATGATAAAAGTTTTGAAAATGAGAAATGAGAGAACTTTACGAAAAGTAATTTTTTTTAGCTCAACTTCATCTCCTTCTTTTTAGAATGTTCTTTTGGTAATTTTTAATTGATACTATGAAATAATATCAATGATTTCATAATTTAATTAAATTCAATGCCGATTTTCCACAACATTGGTGGACTAATTTCATATTATATTAAGTATATTTTTCTCTCTTTCTGGGGTTTATCTAATTGAGTAGCAGTTCTACATTAAAATTAATTTCAATTTTAAGGTGCATTCTTAAAAAATCCAAATTCGAAGTAAAATGAAGCCCGATTTAATATTATTTGAATAGGTATTCCAATGTTTTATCTCATAAAAAAAGGCCAAAAACGTGTCGATGCGATGGCCTAATCCTGCCATAAAATTGGCTCGGCACTCCACGGACGTCACATTTTAATTTGGGTTTGTTTGGATCGACCGCTGCAAACAAAATTTGTTGTCGGCCGGCCGGCAGGTTCTCGTCGTTCCCACATATAAAACTGACGAGAGCGTACAATTTTTCACATATTTTTTCACGCCGTCACTTTAACACGTTATTTTTTTGGGAGGCGCCGCAAGTGCGAAAATCTGGGTGTTGGCTTAGCGGCCAACTTTGTGGCGCGGAGAGGCTTGCGAGAGAGATAGCGGGAAAGAGAGCCATCCATCACCGACGCACGGTGTCAACGAAGCGCGCGCGCTCTATTCACAAATAATACCCGCGCGCACCCTGTTTCGAAATATATATATGCACCTCTAGATTATATATTTTGGACGGAGCGAACGGCCCTTATGGCTGCAATTGCAATTCGATAATCCCCAGTGTGCCAAAGCCACGCAACCATTTCGCCAATGCTTTGTAACTCAATTCTCAGCCTCGGGTCCATGCACGTGGTCGGCTATTGACTACCGCCCGACAATGAACCGCTGCCGAGCTTGCTAATTTTTCGCTGTCCACTCACGCAGCGTGCCACTTTCACAAACAGAGAACCCTCGCAGCGCCGGTGGTCGACTCAATTCCAGCTTGGCTGAGGTCAACGTTTCATTATTTGGAATTGACGCGTGTTCTCTTAATGAAATGACATTTGATGAGCTAATTTTGTCTGAAAGCTATGTAAAAGTTTTAAATCAAAAGTACACAAAAGAAAAATTGTTGAAAATATTTTTTTAAATAAAGTATAAACTTAAATTTCAATGTTAAATATTATTATGTTTTGTAAAATTTATATGGTGAAGCTCGTTTTCAAATACTAATGAATTCATCTGAAATAAAGTTTAAAAAAATCTAAAATGTATGCTGAATGCTGATCTTTATTGTAAATCTTCTTCTTGGTCAACAACTCCCAGAGAGATATGTGCTCTTATTAAACCTTTATCAATATCTTAATTCGTTTATGGAGAAAAATAACATTATTTCACCTTTACTTGTATCACGTCACGTTAATACGGTTTTAATGTGAGGCTAAATAGTACTTAAGGACAGAATAAAGGCGGAATAATCAAAATAGCATAAATTTGCTAAAATTATAAATATTATTTTTATATATCATTGCCGAAGCATGAAATTTTGAATTTAATTGAATATAGGCCTCTCGATGGCTATATATGCTAATGTGCATGACCTAAATTTCAGGTTGGAATTAAAATAAAATTGATGGTAATATTGGGCGTTTTATGACTAAACGGTCTTCTAAATAGCTTAAATTTGCTAAAATTATATATATTAGTCTTAAATAGCATTGCCGAAGCATGATATTTTTAATTTAATTGAATATAGGCCTCTAGATGGCTAAATAAGCTAAAGTGCATGACCTAATTTCCAGGCTTGTATTAAATTAATATTGTTGGTAATATTGGGCCGACCATGACTGAACAGTGTTCAAAATAGAACAAGTTACTAACAGTACGACTGATTTTCGGCAAATTTTCTATATCTCAATATTTTTTTTTGTCGCGAGGGTTTTCCTGCCAGCTTTCGAATTGGACAAGTGTAATCGTGAAATAATAAACAAGTGAACAAAAGAAAACACACACTCGAGCGTACTCTTTTTCTTAATTAACCGACACGCGAGAGCGCCTTTATACAAATGTGCATGACATATCGCGAAACACAAAAAGGTTGTTTATAAGCCGCGCGCCTCCTGGAAAGAGACGAAAGCTGAAAAACAAAAGGTGCCGCGCGCACGCTGCGCTCTTATGGAAACCGCGAGTTGCAAAAGTTAATGTACACATGCAAAATTAACTCTCCGCGTGACGTGCGTGCGGGGGGCTAATAATTTACTCAAGTTCCCTTTTGCCGACAGCCAACTTTGTCTGTTAATTAATAAGATTTTCACTCGTCAATAAATTAAGTTTTAAAAATAATTTTAATTTAGTTTATAATTTACAAAGAGCAAATTTCCAAATCTCACCGTGCTTTAATATAACAACACCGAAATGTAATGCTTATTTTGTTTCCTTTTTCATATTATTCCTTTATCGATGATGTGTGTACGCTAGTAATAATAATAATAAAATTCAAAATCCACAGAGTATTTTTATTACATTAGTATTTGAAGCTTTGCAATTGAATTCCAAAACTTCATTTATTCTCCATTGAATAAATTTAATTTAATAATAAAAATTATTTCACATCTAGCAAATAAGTTTTAAACTGGCAAATCTTATAGAATCTTCAATTGCTTTCAGAC